AAACATTACATTGTTTTCTTAAAAACTGTTTTCATTAAGTAGTTGTATAGCAGAGTTGTCATTCAACAAAGCAGGTTATGAATAAAATGCATCTTGATCAATGTCACTCCTTCATCATCCCCCCACCCTTCACAACCCTATTTCTTCTCTCAGTTTTCTTAATTTTGTAGGATACGCGTTGAATTTTATGACTGTATTCTTTCCCGCCTTCTCCTTGTTAGTGGTAGCTAGGTCACTGACAAATGTAAACTCTGGAACTCATGAGATGTAGGTATAGCAAGCCCATCAGATCTTATAAATGCTGGCCCTATGGAGCTCCACCAAGTTCGCTGAGGCCCAATTCTGGGATGTGCACCAAGCAGTAGGTATAATTGAAGCCATAGTTCAACTTGTCAAAACCAGATGTGCCTGTTATTTAAAGCAATACCTCCCTGGCTTCTTGAGTATAAGCCAATCACCCGTGAATCTGTGGAAGATATGGCTTGGGGTCATTGACTTTATCTACATAGTTTTAGTGGAAAATGGAACACTTGTCAATTTCCAGTTACTAAGCTCTCTTCCTGTCTAGAAAATAGTAACTTATTCTCCATGGTAGGATGAGGCATAAAACTATATATAATAATTGGAGTATCTTCATTGCTCTTGCTAAATAAAACACAGGTGGTGTCAACTGCCTCTTCTGTAATATGTCCATAATTAGGACCTTGTTTGGGCCTTTGTTAGTATGAAATGAGTTCATGAATAGTATATCTACTGTGGTAACCAGAGCATGAGAGAGAAATGTAATAAATGATTACTTTCTTTCATTTTAAGGTTAGCAGTCTTAGTATATGACTGAGTCAGCTTTTCAAAGCTGTGCATCCTTGCTAGAACACGTGAATGCTAGTAGTCTTACCTTGATCTTTAAATTCTTCAGAAGAAGTGGGTATTAAAAGTACTTCTTTAACCCTGGCAATAAGCCAGACATTGTTTAATACATAAAGCAGTAGGAATCCTTGTCTTCCAGAAGTTTCCATTCCGACAGCCAACATGTAGACAATTAGTCTAATAAACAACTAAATCACACACAATATTTGAAAGTTAGGAGTTGTTTGTGAGGAGAGAGATAGCAGACCTAGATTAAAATAAGAGTACGCGTGAGTGTCAGCTATTGTAATTGTAACTATAAAACATAATATAGAATTATAATTTATAGAGTGGTAAATACTGTCATTGGCAAGTGAGTGACTTGAAGCAAGATGAAGTAGATGTAAGTCAGTAACAAGTCACTGGGGTAGCATTCCAGGTGATGCAAACACTCTCAGGAGCATTGTGCCTGGCATGTTGAAGCAATATTCAGCAAGGTGACTAGTGTCTCTGAAGCAAACAGAAGAGAATGCCAATGAGGTCATACAAAGTGGGGGCGGGGGAAGGGACATCTTAGACACTTACATTTGATAACCATCCTGAGAAACACTGGGTGCATAATCTAACTGGTCTGTGTTTGTATCGACTGTATTGGCTGTAAGTCACAGGGGATTCAAATTCCATCCTGGGAGAGCTTTCACCAGTCTGTGCAGTTTGCAACCATAAGTGTAACTCCTGATCTATATTAAAGCCAAGTGGTGACTTTAAAATTAGCAGCGTTTTCATGAAGTGTAGAACTAGCTATTACTGATCTGACTGAAGGTAGTTGTCAGTGACAATTATGAGCTAAAGTAACATGATTATAGGTGTCTGGGTTAGAGTGTAATGTGCCATCAGCCCTGTTCCATTAACTCTAATCCTAGGGTTGTATGTGTGGAGCTAAGGGAGGTGTTCTCCCAGGATCCAAGTGTAAGCCTTCTTATTTCCTGCTCAGTATTTTGCAATAGCCATTAGTTTCTTACTCTTTGCTGTACTGCACTTCTTCAACCCCTCCTGCACACAGCTGCCAGGGTGTGCCCTAGAGAGAAAGTTCACAGCAATTCACACCAGTCTATGGCTCCAAAATCTCCTTGGTGGCCCCATTGCAATAGTGAAGCCTGTTCCAATATAACCCTGTCTTACCTGTACAAAAAACCGCAGTTCCACCAACTAGAGTGTACTTTTTAATGACCTGACCAGCTCTGTAGGGAAAAGGCATATGTCCAGAAAGAGCCAGGAAATATCTAAAACAATCCTAAAACATCTTGAAGAACCAGAAAGTCAAGAAGTACTCAGAATGAAAGCCAAACAAAAGCAAATCCAGAATGATCAAAGAGCAGTGAAAAGACGCAAATACCTGAGAGAAGAACTCTGAATAGCCACAGCTGGGACATTTTTGAGCATCTCTGAAATGGAGTATTGGATAAATATCTACAGATTAAATAAATACCCATGTGTCCATACTGATATAAAAATAAGTAAATAAACATGGGGAGGGATACAAATCTCTTGTGCTGAAGAATTCTAAAAAGAAATGTTATAGATACTATCAGAGCAAGGAGGTGGAGTGTAACTCCATTGTCTTAATGTGTGGGCTGTGCATAGTGACAGAGTAGAATCTGGAGAGGAGGAGGAAACATCTTACAGTAAAGCCATCTGAGCAGCACTACTTCAGCCAAATGACCAAGTGCAACAACAGCGATAAGCCTTTAATGGGGTTTAATCACAATGGCATTTTTGCCACTGTAATCACTCTTAAACACACACACACACACACACCCCGCCTAATCATGAGAAGAGCCTCAGCTATATCCCAGTTAAAAGACATTCTAAATAAAAGAGGGAAACTAGCATTCCCATACATCATCAAGATTATCTAAAAGCAAGGAGGTTTGAGGAAAAGGTTTCAGCTAAGAGAAGCCCATAATATGTCATGATAAGGGAACCCGAACAGAAAAGGTGAAACTGAAGAAGGCTGAACACAGCCTAGGTGGGCATCGGTTCACAGTGACGTGTAAATACAGGCACAGTTGTGTCCGCTGTGCTGAGTTAAAGATGTTAGTTGTAAAAGAATAGAAAGGAAACAATGGAGTGTGGTATATGTGGGAACTCAACTACCCTCTTCAGAACATTTCTGAAAATATAAAATTATTCTAAAATAAGAAAAAAAAATTAAGTATACCAAAAAAAAACCCCTCAAGATTCTCACATTAGTGGAAAGATCTCCGCTTTGTTAGCATCTCTCGGTACCCATATTTCAAATCACAGCCTAAGATATCTTTGCAATTCATCAAAAAAGAGTAGTTCCCTTGGCCCCCACCTTTCCTCCTCTGCTCATAGAACTTGGTACTGACTTTTGTGGGTTAATCTTAGCTAATTAGCCTATTTTTTCTACCATCCCAGAGTTCTGGATATCTCTCTCCACTCTGTCTCTGTCTCTCTAAATTTCTCTCTGAGTGGTATATTGGAGTGAAGAAACTGGAGGGATAGAAGAGAGAATTTTCCATGAGAAATGTATTTGCAAAGTTGCTGAGGCAGAAAGAAGAGTAATACCAATTGTGTAATACCAGGAGCAGAGAAATACCAATTGTGGCTGGATATAGCGATCATAGAAGGCATCTATGTACTCTTTCATGTGTCTGGCTTCCGCCACAGTTAGTTCCCATCCCCCATCAGTGATGACATTTAAGAAATGTCTCAGGCTTGCATAATCACATCTCATTACCACTGCATTGAAATCCATTGTAGGGCATTCTGTTCTTAAGAACAGAACGAGGCTCTGCCTTATAATTTCTTTCCTTTTACCCTCCCTTCTTTCTTTTGTTCCCCAATATTTATATCTTCTATGTATACAGATTGCACACACATCCTTTACAGTTCATAGCACAGTAATGTGTGTATAATGGTTGTTTAACAAATGCTTGCTTTATTTCTGCCAACTGAATCCTAAATGCCAAGAATCACAAATGCCATGAGTCCATTCTAGTCAAATAGAAGCCTCTCTGTTTGAATTTATAACTTGCTGTTAGGAAAGTTAATGCCTGATTTCTGTATACTTGGGATATCTCTTGTACTGGTGGAGATCTGGCCTCACTCATTTTCTATGGATGGAGATGATTGACCTAAGCTGATGGCACACCTGTGTAATCCCAGCACATGGGAGGTTTAGGCAGGAGAATCAGAAATTCAAGACCAGCCTGGGCTAGTATCAAAATAACAACAACAAAAAGATAAAAGTGAATATTGGTCAACCTTTATACTTCCCCAGGAGCTCACCTACTTAGGATGTAGGAGAGGGTGACATACAATAGCTTGCCAAGAAATGTGGATGTGTGTGTGGTTGAACTGTGATAATTTAAATGAATTCTTACGCCTAGGCCTGTGATTTGGAGATCACTTAAGGGACTTAGCCATTTTCTCCAGCAAGTCTTTCTTTCCTTTCTGCATGCAATCAGAGGTTAGCGAATGACTCCTGACTGGAGTTTCAATTCAACCCTCTTGAGGATGGGCAGGTAGTGGGAGAGAGAACTGATTTCTGGAAAGTTTCCTGAAACCGTAAGTTCTATATTACTGGAGTGTTGGTTGGTTGTCATTAGTTGGTTGTCATAGAGCTCAGAGATTCTTCAATGCCAAGGTGTTATAAACATATACTGCATTTCGACCGAGAGAATGTTTGCTTAGTATTTTAGCTCCCAGCATGCACTGCTTTACTACTTCTCAATACATCCAGCCCAGAAATGTCATAGCTTAGAGATGTTAATTCCTTCTTCTGTTCATTCACTGGTGTTCTTTGCTACTTTGAATATAGCACTGCAATGCCAAGTTTCTCCAGGAATATACATAGTGGAAGAAATTATTTTTTAATTTAATTTTATTGTCAAAGTGATGTACAGAGGGGTTACAGTTACATACATCAGGTAATGAGTACATTTCTTGTGGAACATTGTTACCCCCTCCCTCCTTGTTCTCCTACTTTGTAAGTATACTTCAGAGGAACTATTTCAATCATTTTGGCCACTTTTCTCAAACTCAGCACACATATGGCCATAGTCCTAAATGGCTACTCCATTATTTCTAACTCTGTTCTTTCCATTCTTCTTCTTCTCTGTTGCCAGAAGGAGGTACCTGTGAAGTGATTGCAGCACACAGATGTTGTAACAAGAATCGCATAGAGGAGCGGTCACAAACAGTGAAGTGTTCCTGTCTCCCTGGGAAAGTGGCTGGGACAACAAGAAACCGACCTTCCTGTGTTGACGGTAACCAGCTGCTTTTATTCTTGTGCCTTGGTGTTCATCACAGTGTTCATGACACACATGTGTTTCCTTGTTTTAAGTTTGAATTTTCTGTGTCTCTGATTTCAATGCTTATCCCTCCCTAATTTATGATAAAATGAGGTTGGCATTGTGGTGGAATTAGGAGATAGGACCTGTGGGGGAAAGGATTGAACCCAGAGCTCTACCATCAGGTTGAAATTAGTGCCATGTAAAGGGTGATCTCAGCCCCCTCTTGCCTTTCTATCTTCCAACGTATGAGAATGCTTCATGAAAACTTTCACCAGGTAGTAGTGCTTTCTTCTTGCATTTCTTGGCCTCAGACTAAATTATCCACTCACAGGTGTTCTGTTATGGCAGTGCAGTATGAATTATGACATTTGGCTTTGAGGTTTTCAAAGAGCTCTGTGTTGATGTCAAGAAGATAATTAAAGGATTTTTTTGTTTTAGTTCAAGAAACTCGAGGAACCAGTTCATTTAGGAAATGATGTTTGATTATTGCTATATATAATGATAATGGTGATACTGATATAAATATGAAAACACTTATTGTTTCCTCAAAAGATGTTGCAAGTGCTTGCTATATGTCAGCTGTAACTAAGTTCTTTGAATATGCTTATGAGCAAATAGAACTGCTCCAAATTACCAGACAATCCTCATACATTTTTCCTCAAAGCCCTATAAAATATTACATTAGTTTTCTATTTCTATGCAACAAGTTATTTTCAAATTTCACAACTTAAAAGAACACACATTATCTCATGGTTTCTGAGCAACTAGAATTCAACTAAGCTGGAATGTTCTGGTTCAAAGTTTCTCATGTAGTAGCGGATAAGTAAAGGACAACTTTGAAGAAAGTGCAATTTCTGGGCGTGCCTGTGACCCTAACTACTTGAAAAGCAGGATCAGGAAGATCAAGGCCAGCCTAGGGAAAAAATTCTCAGGATTCCATTTCTGTTATTAACTGCCATCCTAGTTATTCAGGAAGCTGAGATCTGAATAATCACAGTTTTGTGCTAGCCTGAGGAATAACAAAAATGTTTTCAAGACCCTCCCATCCCCCCATCTCAACAGAAGCTAGGTATAATGGTATATGTCCATCATCCCAAGTATAAAGGAAATGTAAGTAGGAGGATATTGTCCAGGCTGGCCAATGCAGGAAGTGAGACCCTATCACCAAAATAACAAGAGATAAAAGGGCTGGGGGTGTTGCCCAAGTAGTAGAATGTCTCTGTGTCTTTGAATTCAAACCAGTGCCACAAAGTGAAAAGAGAGAAGAGAAAAGAAAAAGGAATGGAAATGAAAACAATATAAAGAAAATAAATGTTTAAAATGAAAAGAGGAAAGGAAAGGAAAGGAAGGAGAAAGAGAATGGAAAGGAGAAAGAAAACAGAGGAATCCAGGTCAACAGGAAACTCAGGCCCACTTCAAGGGATTCATAAATCCTTTAAGTAGCTTCGATCTCACTTTCCTGTGCTTGGGACACACTATTTCTGATCTGTTTGCATCATTCTCCTGTTTAAGCATGGGTTCCATCTTCATGGCTTTGCATTTTTATTTCCTTGTGAATTCCAGACCTGTGAGATTGGTATGTCCACAGGATCCTCCTGATCTCACTGACAAGAAAGCATAGCTTCAGAGCCTTCTAATTGATGCATGTCTCATGCTGTAAATACATATTGTGACAAGAGGAGGATGATTGGCCCCGTTTGGGTCACTATGTCAACCTGAGCCCAATCAACCACAGCAGAAGGACAAGCTCCCATTGAAGGTACAACTGCCCAGTCTGTATCATGGGAAAGTCAAGCTATTTCTAAAGGATGTGGTAAAGTCAGGCTTGGCTACAAGGTGAGATCAGGAATGCTCCACTGGGGCAGTTTCTCCCAGGAGTCTTTTAATAATATTTGGAGACATTTAGGGTCTATAGACATTTGTCAAAGTATAAGAGTAACACGGTTATCTGATGAGTAAAGCTCAGGGGTGTTACTGAGTATTTTACAGCACACAAGTTACCCCCTCTTCAATATGAACAAAGAATTGTCCAAACAAGTTGACAGGGCTGCTGAGCAGAGAAACATAGTATCGAATTTTCTTTTTTACATCTCAATCAACACCATGAGGGACCACTAATAGAGAGAGGCAGGCAAATAGACCAAAGAATCATTTCACTCTCTTGCTGGAAATTCTTGGCAGGCAAAGCCAGTAGGCACTGTATAACATCAAACCATAATGGTTTCTCATGTTCTTTGCCAAAGAAAACATTGACTTTGTTAACTATAAATCTCCATTTTGGTCCTAGTTCATTTTTATCTCTAATGACTTAGAAATAGAATTACCTCACTAGATGCTATGTTGAAAATGAATTATACAACTTGTGGCGGGAGAATGGGGAAAAGGGTACTGGGCGATTGAAGGAAGGGGTGACATTGTCCAAAAAGAAATGTATTCTTTACCTGACTTATATAACTGTAACCCCCTGTATATCACATTTAAAACAAAAAAGAGAAGAAAGAAAATAGAATTGCTGTTAGGTTCTGGATGCAAAACACATAGAGAAATTCACTGGCTCTTCTGGCAGAAAGAAAGTAACCTTTAGCCCTAATTTTCTTTTGAGAAATTGTTACATGCCAGTAATGTTTTAATCTGAGGACACATTTATTTAATCTTAGAAACTGGATCATTACTGTGGTTGGTTCAAACAAGAGGACTATAATCTCTGTCTTTCAAGAGAAAAAAATCCATAAGCTAAAGAATATTTTAAATGCTGATTATGTAGATTTTAAAATAACATTCCATTCTTCCAAAGTCCTTAAAGCTATTAGCATGTATAGGCACATTACTAGGCTGATTCTATGAACAACATTGCTTCAGTGGTCGAGATTTCTATGGGGAAAATAAACATGAACTAACAATGTAGTCTCTAAAATATTGGACGGAAAAGGTGCATGTGAGTAGAATCTCAGCTGTACTTGTTACTAACAAAGTGACTTTGGACAAGGCACATTTGCTTTCTAACCTAAATATCATCATCTGAAAAACAGGAGTACAAATAATTTATACTTTATAAAGCTTCAGTGCACAATAAGAAAAGCATGTATATAGACAAGCGAGACAGCTCACATTTGCATTTTTAGCTATTCAAGAGGGGCAGTGGAGATTAAGAAGAATGAAGTTCAAAGCCAGCCCAGGCAAAAAATTTGGAACACTTCATCTCAACTAATAACAAAAGTTTGGTATAATGGTATATGCCTACCATCCAAGCTATACAGGAAGCATAAGTACGAGTATCACAATCAAGGCTAACCTAGGCACAAAAGCAAGATCCTGTCTCAAAAAACATCATAGCAGTAAGGTAATGATGGCTCATGCCTTTTATCCTAACTATTCAGGGAGCTGAGATTATAATTATTATTACAGTGTTATAAATCAAAGCCAGCACAGACAGAAATTTCCCAATGACTATTTATTTCCAGGAGTGGAGGTGTGGCTCAAATGGTAGAGTAATAGGTTAAACAAGAAAGGCAAGTAAGAGTGTGAGGCCCTGAGTTCAAACCTCAGTACCCCACCTCAAAAAATTACCAAAGCCAAAACATCTTGGGGCATGGCTCAAGTAGGATAGTACCTGCCTAATAAATGTAAGGCAAACCCCAAGTTCAAACCCCAGTACCCCCCAAAAGACAAAAATGGAAAATCATCTATTATAATCAACATCATATATTATAATGTGCAATATCTACATCTTATCAAAGTCTCACTAAGTGATGGTATCTATTTCTCATTTTACTAATAAGTATGAACAATTCCTGGAAAGAAAAAGAGACAGAGAAAGAGAGAGAGGAAGAGAGATTGTTTTTATAAAGTTCTGCATCATATTAATGCAACTCTATGACCACCATCTTTTGTTCCTTCCAATCAGTTATCCTAGATAATAATAGTAAGTCATAGTCAGAAGTGCATACTCACTAAAAGAATGTTAGAAACTACCAAATCACCCACGATAGCATTGCCCAGATGATCACTGCTATGTATGATAACTTGTTAGCCTATCTTCTTCTAGTCTTAGCCCCCATTAAAGAATAATCTCACTTTGTAAGTATGGCATTGGACTAAACTTCTGTAGTACTGATATATTGGGGACTGAGTCCACTTAATATATGATATATGATAAACATTTCTCAAGTTGATGCATATTCTTCAAAAAAAATAGCTACTTAGGATTTTTGGAAATCAATGCACTGTAATTTACTTGATTGTCCTCTTTGTTTTGGCACATGTTAAATCTTTCTTGTGTCCCCTGGCTCATTTCCCTATGAATAGAAAGGCAACTGCTTCCCTGTGTATCAGCAGTTGATAATGTGTGTGTGTGTGTGTGTGTGTGTGTGTGTGTGTGTGTGTGTGTGTGTGTGTGTGTGTACACATACGTTACATTTGTCCTAAACATATTCTGTCTTAGATACTGCACCTTCCTTGGTAAGTGGTCCGATTATTGTTGCTCGCTTTTCTCCGAAATTGCAGGTCACTTGCCTTCTACTGTGTTAGGAGAAGTAAAAACAGCTGTGATTTTTAAAAAGAAGCACATACTGAATTAAGACTCAATATTGGAGAGCAGATTATTCAATGGGACTGAAATTTGGGGATAAAAGTGATGTGTTCAAAAGCCTAACCTATACTTACAGAACATTTTTAGTGCAAATTTCTTTTATAATGATGTTTCATTACCCCAAAACTAAAATATGCATTCTCTAACTTAAATTATGGGATAGCCACCAAATACTTAAAAGGTACACTCATACCAACACAAATACTTAAAAGGTACACTCATACCAACACCTCCCACACTTCTGAAGGAAACTGTTGTTATACTCTCTTACTTAAATCTACAATCCAAATAAGATTAGTACTGCACTCGATATCTTTGGTTAAGAGCAACGAACACTATAATGTAAAGTGTTTCAGTTATCCCCACTTCCTTCTTAGGACCTGAA